GAAGTGCCCAGCCGGGGGCGCAGGGTCCGGAGGCAAGGGGGCTGCCCAAAGCCCGAGTGCTACCGGCTTCACGGTTTGCCGGGCAGCCTCCAGGCCCTGCGCCCCCGGCCGGCGCTTCCCCAGCGCAGCTGGATCCCAGGAGGGGAAGTGCCCAGCCGGGGGCGCAGGGTCTGGAGGCTGCCCGGCAAACCGTGAAGCCGGTAGCGCTCGGGCTTTGGGCAGCCCCCTTGCCTCCGGACCCTGCGCCCCCGGCCGGGCACTTCCCCTCCCGGGCTTCAGTTGCTCTGCTCCTCTCCTGACTCTTCGGCTCTGTTTAAGAGCCGAGCTGCCCGAGCACTCCGGCTTCGGGCAGCCCCTATGCCTCCGGACCCTGCGCCGCCGGAGCAGAGCAGCTGGAGCCCGGGACGGGAAGTGCCCGACCGGTATTTTCCCGGACATGTTCAGCTTTTTGGCAATTCCCCCCGGATGGGGGTAACCCTATCTCAGCTCATTATTGTCTCTGAACACTTTTACTGGCAACATCTGCTCCATCTGCCCCTAACGGGGTTGGCCACATGGGGGTCAGGAGATGACCAGTGCCCATATCTGTGAAATATGCTAGTGAAGTTACAATTCCCAAAGGATGTGGTTGGAGTTGAGAGAGACACTCTTGCTTTGATCTGTCTCCACCAGATAGTCAAACCTGGCGCCTTGTATTGTAGGAACACATGCAGCCATGGCCGGAGCTTTGGCCCAGCTATGCCAAGAGTTTGCTGGACCTAAATATACACAAAGCCTGAAGCTCCATGTGCCGTGTTTGGATGTATACCAAGCTAAAGAAGGAGAGCGAGACCAGGTGGACTCGGAGGACCGGTGAAACTAGGATATGGGACTCCAGTTACCATTCCTGCTAGGATGGAATGGCTCAAGGGGATCAGAAGGCCACTGTCATGGAGTGTGGGGGAGACAAGGCCCTGCACCCCCGGCTTCCTGCGATTCACCATGACTCTCAGCCAGCCAGTAACACAGAAGGTTTATTTAGACGACAGGAACACAGTCCAAGACAGGTCTGGCAGGTACAGACAACAGGACCCCCTGAGTTTGGTCCATCTAGGGGCCCCAGGGACACCAGAGCCCTGTTGGGAAGCCCAAGCCCCGTCTGGGCTCCCCTCCCTTCCTGGGTTCTCATGTTACATGCTCAGGTATCCTCCCTCAAGGCCAGTCTCCCACCCCCAATGCAGACCGTCCCAGCAAAACTCCCCTGCAACCTTCCCAGGCCAACACTCCCCGCTCAGCATTCAAAGAACACATTAAGAACATTCCCACTTCGTCACAGCCACCAATCAATCAGTTGATCTTGGTTGAAGCCTCAGATACAGATGTGCTGCGGGGAGGACTGATGTTGAAGAGAGGTGTAGCCAAAACCTCGTCTCGTACAGAACGCGTCAGTAAAGCTACTGGTGGCTAATGAAACTGAGCACCCAATCACTATCCTTCAGGGAACTGTGTTAGTGCAGGTATACTGGGCTGCAGCGGTGGCCCATCTGCCCCCCGCAGGAAGATTATACCCATATTTGACCCAGAGAAGTTGAACTTTAGGAACTCCCCAATTCCTCTGGTGTGGAAAGAGAGATTGAAATGGAAACTCGTGCAGAGAGCCCAAGTGTTCTCCACTTGTGAGTGGGTTGGTCAACTCCTTGGCACATCACATTCCGCAGAATGATAGGCCTTTCTATGAAAGATCGAAGGGACTAGCACCTGCAGATATCGAAGATGTTCGGAAACCTGTGCAGGAGATGAAGACTGAAGGAATCCTACAAGTCTTTATGCCTCCCCAGTTGTTGTGGCCAGAAAAAAGAATGAGGATTATGCATTTGCATAGATTATCACATTTTGAATAGATGTACCTGACCAATGAGTGGATGATGCCTTAGAGTCACTGCCTAATAGGAAGCGGTTAGTAACTGCTTCTCAGATCCAAAAAGGAAAACCATCAGATACGCAAAAGAGCCTTCATCTGTCCACTCGGCTTCAGGGAATATGTGGGGCCATTCCAGAGATTAATTGAGTGGATGGTTGGGGGTGACATGAACCTTCTGCAAGTCCTGGTGTATCTGGATGACTTGATAGTATTCGGTTGCACTTTGGAAGAGCACGAAGAATGCTTATTAAAAAATGTATGACTGTCTGCAGTGACATGGATTGAAGCTAGCTCTAGACAAATGCCAGTTCTGTCAGGAAAACAAAGTCCGTAGGGCATACACTGCATCTCGAGATGGAGTTGCTGCAGATCCGGACAAACCAAAAACCCTGTGGACATGATCAAGCCCCTAAACCTTGAAAGAATTACAGGGTTTTTGTTTGTTGTTTTTTGGTCGGGGGGTTTCTGCAATTATTATAGGTGATTTGTAGCGGGATTTTCTGCCCTTTGTCATCCCTTAGATGAACTCACCAAGGCATATTCCCCATAGGAAAAGGGTATCTGGATGCAGAACCTGACAACTACCAGTCAAAGAAGCCAGTGGACTCTGTCGTGAGAATGCTGTTTTGATGTTAATAGATGCACTGGTGCATGCTCCTGTGTTAGCTTTTGCTGATACTAACTAACCGTATCTTCTACACATTGATGCTAATATGGAAGGATTTGGAGGAATCGTCTATCAAGAATATACAGATGGATGGGCAGGGCCGGATTAACCTTTTGTGGGTCCTGGTGCCTGGACCATGGCCCTGCTCCCTGGCCCACCCATGCTCCTCCCTGAGGCCGTGCCACAGCTCACATGGGGGCGGGGGGCAAAGAGGAGGGGTTGGCAGGTGGGGCCTCGGGGGGGGGGGGGAAGAGGCTAGGGTGGGATCTTCAGGGTGGAGCCCATGTGGGGACCCTTCCAAGTGTGGGCACGGTCCCATTTTAAACTCAATACTGTGGACGGGGACCAGTTGCTTATACCAGTAGGAGTCTAATATCTATCCAGCTCACAAACTAGCACCAAAGTGGGCTGTGGCCAAGAAATTTCATGATTATCTTTATAGAGCAAAATTCACAATCTGTACTGAAAACAATTCCTTAATTTAGGTCTTGAAGTCGGCCTGTTTGGATGCCACAGGGCATAGGTGGTTAGCAGCATTGGCCGCCTCTGACTTCCAAATGTAGTATCGCCCAGGGCCTGATGCATTATCCTGCCGGCTGGACAGAGAGGGTGCCAGGCCAGGAATGGACTGACATCCCAGCTCCTGGAGTGAGGGTTTGCATAAGCTAGCCTCTTAGCCTGAATCAGATGCACAATGGCATCATGGAACTGCTGGGAGCCCCTCCCAATGCTATACCCAAGGGGTATACAGATGCCACCCAACTGGATCTTACTTTGTTTCCCAGATTGCAAGGGGAAGATATTCGCACTCAAGAGCTCCCAGCCTGAAAGTGACCCTGACTGCTGAAAGCCGGGGGAGACCTGGGAATACCATACAGAATGCCCATCCAGCTGCAAAACTGATCTTGAGAGAGTGGAACCAGTTAACATCGAAAAGAGGCCTGTTCTATCGAGGGACTCACTTCATCACCATTATCATCAGCTGATGTTGCCAGGAGAATTCAGGGACCTGGTGCTGAAGTCCTTGCATGATGAAGGAGGGCACTTTGGGGTAGACCAGACACTTGGGAGGGTAAGAAGATGGTTCTATTGGCCCAGATTAGGGAGGGTTATAGAGGAATATTGGTAAGAATTGTGCCAGCTGTTGAGCTTGGAAGACGTTACCCAAACCATGTGCCCAGTTAGTTAACATCCAAAGCAAGCAACCCATGGATCTTGTGTGTTCCTAGAATCTGACAACGAAGGGAACACTAGCGTATTAGTGGTAACAGATCATTTCACTCAGTAAGCACAAGCATTCCCCGTGAAACATCAGCGCACTCCCGCTGTAGCCAAGATAGTATTGTGCACTACTGCTGGCCTTCCAGAATTCACTCTGATCCGGGGTGTGACTTTGCAACTATACTTATCAAAGAACTACTACAAATAATTGGGGCAAAGAAATCCCAGACCTCACCATATCACCCACAAGGGGCCCCACAGCCAGAACGTTTCACTGGGGCGCTTTTGAACATGCTTGGGACTCTCAGCCCGATACAAAAGCACAAATGGAGCCAACATGTTTCACAACTAGCACACACTTATAATTGTGCCAGGAATGATGCCACTGGATTCTCCCCTCGTTGTCTAATGTTTGGGAGGGAAGCGAGACTACCCGTGGACATTTGTTTTGAAGTGACTCCAGAGGGAGGTGGCCTTGACGTCTTCAGTGTGTAAAGAAAACAACACAACAACAGGAGAAACGCCTATTGACTGGCTATGGCTGCGGCAGTGAAGAGCGCAACTCAGAATAAGATCTGACGTGACCAGTGCATACGAGAGCAAGAACTACTCCCAGGTGACTGCGGTTTGGTAAGGAACTCAGGAGTAAAATGGAAGAACAAGCCAGGAGACCGTTGGAAATCAGAACCCTATCAGGTTGTTCAGAAACGACCTGGGATTCCCATAGATCAGCTCCGGAGAGAAGAAGAAAGGAGGGAGATCAGAACTCTTGCCAGGAATCGCTGGTTGGCAATTGGGCAGTTGGTACGGTTCCCTGGAAGTGAGCCGGCCACTACGTCTGCTAGTAGCAATCTGGCTGTCCCACAGAACTAGGATGGGCCAGCTGTGACAGAACAGAGACACGAAGGGGAGAGCATCATTCATCTCTGGCGATGAATGATTGGGGTTTAACTACTTTTATGAACCCCCCCAGAGCCTAGAATCGGGCTACGCTGTGAGGCCCCATTACAGCTCCCACTGGCAGATATGGCTGCAGAGCGGGCAGCGATGCCCAAGGAAGGGGAGGTGCTGCCCACAGGAAGTCTCCTGTGCTGGACGCAGAACCTGCGGTGGAATTACAGCCCGTTCCAAGGAAGGTGCATGTTTCAGGGCCGACTGGGAGAGAGAGGCGAAGCCGCTTGTAAGGCTTACCCATGACCTGCCTGGTACCGCAGCCAATAGCCCTACCCGTGTGGGGCGTAAAGCTGGAGCTGCCGTGGGCACTGGTGAACGCAAGCGTAACGAGGCTTGCCGTGGGCGTCAGTTACAACGGGTTGTAAGGAGGTTGTGAGCTGGGGTGCTCTTGCAACAGGAGAAACACTGTTAACGTTGAGGGGATAGCTAATGGGTAACGTTAAGGGGTGGGTAAAATCTATTAATTGAGTGTGGGGACGGCCGACTTTACCCCCCTATCCCCAGCATCTAACCCCGGCTGTGTCACCCGTAGGAGCCGGCCCGGCCCCCAGCCCTGCCCTGCGTGAGCAGCCTCCAAGCCTCAGCCTGCCTGCTGGATCAGGCCCAAGCCTCGCTGGAAACCCTGGAGCGCCGCTTTGCCTCTGGCATCCAGGCCCTGCAGGACTTTGTCAGCCTCCAGGGGGCGCTCCCGGCCCAGCCACGCTGCGGCAGGCGTGGGGCTGGCCAAACAGGGGCCACCCGGGCATGCTGCAGCCTGGGGGCCCTGCAAGGGTCCGGCCAGCCACCCATGGCCCCAGCAGGTGAGTCATACCTCCCAGCCTCCCCCCACTGGAACAGAGCAGGTGGGTTCCCCCCCAGCCCCTTCACACTGGGCTCCACCGAGCTCTGTGGATGGGGGGGTAGCAGGCAGCCCCCCTTGCAGAGCCCCAGGCGTGCTGCTCTGGGTGCCAACTTTGGGATCCCCTAGGTGCCTGGCTGACAGCACCAAGGAGCAGCACAGGGCCTGCCCGGCAATGCTGGCCCCCCACTCCTGGGGTGTGACTGCCCCCAGGCTGTTATCCCTCCCCCTGCCAGGGCCTGGCCAGCACCCCCTGACCTGGGGCCCCTCCTCCCACCCTGGCCAGGGCAGTGTCCCACACTCACCCACTCCCTCCTCCCCAGGCAAGCATAGCAGGGCCAGCACAGGGCCTGGGGGTCGTCCCCTGCAGACCCTCATCGATTTCTCTGCCTGGGTACGAATGCAGGAGCAGCAGCAGGTAACGGAGAGAGGAGAACCCCCCCCCCCGGCCTGCCCCCCCCAGATCTGCCACCATCACCGACTCTCCCCCCCCCCCCCCACGTCTGTCTGCAGGGCCTGGGACGCTCCGACCTGGCCTGTGAGCTGACCCTGGACAGCCCCTTTGGCACCCTGCAGTCGTGAGTGGCCGGGCAGCCCTGCAGTGGGGAGGGAAGCAGAGGCCAGCGCTCCCCTCAGCATTTTACCCAGCAGCCTCTGCTGCAGTCCCCCACGTTGGGGAGGGAGGGAGCAGGGCTGAGAACCACCCTCCAGCACGTGTTATGGGGAGCAGCACATGACCCTGGCTCATGTCCCCGTTATCACAGCAGGCCTGGGAGTGGGGGGAGCGGTGAGGCGAGGGGGGCTGGGGCTGGAGAGCAGGTGTAATGGGAGGAGGGAGGCTGGTGGCTTGACAGATCCGGCTATCGCTCCCTGCAGCAGCCATGGGGTGCACCATGGGGGGGGGGGCTGGGCCACCCCCACCTCCCTGCTAACCTGCCCCCACTCCCCAGGCTGGACCTGCTGCAGGAGATAATCGACGAGCTGAAGGGCACGGGAGACGCCGGGACCAGGCGGCCGGAGGGCAGGGAGCAGAGCAGGTAGGGACACTGCCCCCCTCACCCAGCACCCGGGGCCTTCCCCCAGCCCTGCCACCCTCCACTAACCCCAGCTCCCCTCTCTAGGGCAGCACGACAGAAGAGGACAGCTCGGTCCCACGCAGCAGCCGAGAGTGGCACCGTGCCCCTGCACCAGGACAGCTAGGGTGTGGGAGAGAGGGGGGCTTGGGCCTCCCTTTAAGACCCCCACCCCAACCGCTGTGAACGGGCCGAGATCTGCTCCCCCCTCGATGACAAATAAATGGCCTGGCCAGAGCTGGGGGCTGTGCGCAGTGAGACGGCAACACGCCCCCACCCTCCCCGACATCTAACCAGAGCCCCCTGCTCCCAGCCAGAGATACATCCTCCCCCCCCCCGCCCCCCGGCATCTAACCAGAGCCCCCTGCTCCTGACTCCGAGCCAGAGACACATTCCCCCCCACCCCCCCCCCCGGCATCTAACCAGAGCCCCCTGCTCCCAGCCAGAGATACATCCTCCCCCCCCCCCGGCATCTAACCAGAGCCCCCTGCTCCTGACTCCGAGC